CGGCCAGGAGGTGGCGCTCAAGTGCTCGTGCCGCCTCAAAGCCATGATCATGTGCCAGGGCTGCGGCGCCTTCTGCCACGACGACTGCATCGGGCCCTCCAAGCTCTGCGTGTCCTGCCTGGTGGTCAGATAGTGCGGCCGCGGGCACGGGGGCCATCATGGACAACTTCTGCCTTGTATGATAGGTCTGTATCTTCTGTTGTTGCATATTTTCACATTTGTCTGTTTTTTTCTAGCTGTATTGATTATTATTATTATTATTATTATATTATTATTATTATTGTTATTCTTCTTGTTGTCGTGAATTTGGGGCATGATTACTTGTACATTTGGCAGTTTACCTCATTTTGTCTCGCTCCATTGGTCATTTGGAGGTCACCATTGTTTTGGTCCCTCGTTTGCCCAGCAAATCGGGACTTACCTTTTTCTCTTTGCGCAAAGAAGTATTTTTTTAACCATTAAAAAGAGTCAATGACATGAATCTGTTGTTCCGTGTTGTGACTCATCTCTGGTTCTCCCAGATAAATGTGCTCACGGGGTCCTGGAACCCGCCGCGTTGTGTGAATAACCGGGCATCCCACAACTTACAATACGAGTACACAATGAATGTCCACTTCACGATCACTGTGGGTCAATGTTTATTTCAAGAGGAACTTAAAGACAAATCCATTTACAACCATCATTAACACATAGACGACCAAAATAAATATTCACCATCACTTTTTTCTCACAACCAAATAAATAACAAATATGTGCAGCTCAAATTTGTGTATAGCAATGTTCACAAAATAGATTGAGGAAATAAAAAGCAAAATTATATAAACATAAGCACACAAAAAATCTTTACAAAATTATTTAGAAACCTTTAGTTACAAAATATTTGCACATAAAAAGATCCCATTACTTTAAAGGAACAATAAGATATATAAAACAATTCATAGTTGATATCTTAAAATATTTCCTCTCTGTTGAACTATGCAGAGGAAATGACCCCTTCTCTTGATTATTGTTTAAAATCTTCTCAAGTAAGATTCTGAAAGAAAAACTCAAAAACAGGTGATTAATAAATAATAAACTTAAAATAATCCAGCTGACATGAATAAGTTAGTTATCAAACCAACATTTGCACAGGACTTAAATAGTTACACATCAATAGTAAAAATGAGCCTACAAACTAGTTGTGGAGGTGCAACAACACTATGTTCATATGGAGTTCTATCCACATTATAGGTGAAGATGGGATATGTTCACTAGCTACGCTCAGGCTGTCTACTGCACTCCCGACTTTGTTCTGCTCTCGCTGGAGCTGTGGGCTCCCCCCTTTGGAGGCCCCCCCCCAGTCCAGCGCGCCGTCACACACTTAACGCTCACACTTCTGCCCACGCTCAGACCGTCAAAAGCAACATGCAAACCCAGAACTAATGCAGGGAACAGAGGACAAACATCCAAATGAGAGGACCGAATCACACAGTATCAAAAGGTTTGGAAAGAAAAGCGGCGCTGCCCCCC